TAGCCTACTATAACGGATAAGGATAAATATATGACGATATATGTTTGAAAATATGTATGGTGTAAACTGTCTACTTTCTTATTTTTAAAGATCCACGTGTATTTAATATGGTTTTCTAGCATTGAATTTAAGTTTTATTTAAGATTTTTATGTGTAGTTGTTGACATTTCTTTACTTTAGACGCCCTATTAATGAAAAAAGGGTCAGTACATACACAGGTACCGTTATACGCAAGCATCGTATTATTTTTTTGAAGGCTAATTATGAAAAGCTAAATTTTGTTTGCGCTTACTCGTAAGTGAACTTTAATATAAGCCATGAAGGGATATCTTCACAGGCAGAAATAATTGTTTTTTCACACCAATATGGTAAATTCACGCGTAATGATTCAACTTACCCTTGGGTTAAAAATGATGAATTCGTTTTGCGAGTGTGCGGACGTTTTCCCGTATTTTGTGTGCGTAATTTGATACCATTTGAGAACAAGGAGTATTTTCGTGCTTGTTTTTTTTATAAAATATATGTTTGCATTCATAAAAGCAGACAAACTCATACTATATAAGTAGCTTTTTTTTCAGAATATTGAATTTGATAGTGCTCAGGAAGAAGCTGATTAAAGAGCGGTCGTCGTGGCGTGACTGAAAATACCTGATATTCGACTGCACGACATTTAGTACTGCAACCATGCTAAATGTTGGCGTAGGAAGAACAGGCTGCGTTACACCGTCCGCTTTCCGTAAAACCTTAAAATGTATTCCAACAGTCTGTTGGAAACTTGCCATCTTAGAAAGTTCAACAAAGGTACATTTCAGGAAAACCAAAAAATTAAAAATCATCCATTCAAACGTACTTATAACATTGAAAAATGTAGATGAGATACATATGCCAACGCAACTTCCTAAGTCAGGCGCAATTGGGTTAATGGTTGCAGGTATTTTCAACCAAGGAAAGGCCACAACAAAGGGCTTTGTAAGTAGAATACCGTTGACTTTGGTTGAACCGTGTAGGGGGTGGTTGTGCTTGAATAATTTTGCATCCAGTAGCATCTTTAGCATATATTTTGCGATAAATACGGCCAAGGAGCACTTTGGCCACATGTACCATCATTTGCTAACGCTATCCAGATCAAAAATAGCCTAAGCGCATAGGCAGTTTATCATCGTATGAAACACATTATTTTGTCGTTAAATACAGTTTTATGTGACCATGTGTTTTTATCTACATTTCTGAAACGGAAGTTTGCAAAATGAGTCGGTTGTCGCACTCCGCTCTTCAACACAACTTGCTTCGTTTGTAAAAAAAACTGCATAGTTACTGAATAATGCACTTTTTTGTCCAAAATTTATTCTCTACTTATATGCATGCACTTCCCTTCCAGTTTATAATAAAGCGCCAACCTGGAATTTCCATTTAAATAAGTAAAGCTCCCAATGGATACAAATCATTTAATCAACAGAAATACGTACGGGGAATGAGGCTCTACGTCTCGGTAGTCGGAATTTGTAGCGCTCTTTAAAGTGGCCGTCCACGAGGTTGGAACCATTTAGCATCCGGAGACCTTTGACTTATTCCAGGTTCGTCTTCAGGGGCATCTCCTGTCCAGTCAGGTTTATGAAATATCTCCATTTACCCATTCGCAGAAGGATTCGCGTGGCAACAAAATCCTGCTCTAGGATCGTGTAGTCGCCCCACCTAACATTGACAC